AATGGGGGTATTTGTAATGGAAATGCGGTCATTATCTTTTCCTTGTAGAGAACACCTTCCAGAGCTCCCTCTGGGGCAATGTGACTTCCTACAGACTTTCATGACAGTGTCAAAATGGTGATATCTAGGTCAAAACAAACCAGTCATGTGGGCTAGATAGAAAATCTGGTAAAATGATAAACCCCAGACTGTTTCATGCAGGCACTCCTTTCACCTGTACACACTCTGAAACAGCTATATTTATTTTATATACTTGGATTCAGTTACATTAAGACCCCTTTCTATTGCTATGGCAACAGACAAGGGCATAAAAGTGGGTGTGAATTTAAATCTAAATAATTCCACTTATTTATCTATTTTTCTTGAAACACTGAATCTGTAGACAAGTACATAGACATTAAATAGAACAGATTTCAATTTAGAGGAATTCTTTCCTCCAAAAGATGGAGTAACATTTTCTTCTTTGAATTTTCAATTTTCAGCCTCATTTATGAAGGGGAAAAAATGCCAATGGCTTTGGTTTCAATTAATGCTGTTCATTTTTCCAGAATAACACTCAAGTCAACACTACTTATTCTATAAGTAGAAGCTATATTACCAACCCATGTTTGAGTAGTTATGTACCAAATTTATAGGAACTCATGATGTGTGCATAATGATTTACATAATTCTAATAATAGAAATACTCTTTCTTTGCCTATAAATAACCTTAAATTGTTAGTGTGGATGGAACATTAACATTGGAATTAGTTCCTCTCGGATATTTAGATGGCTCCCTTTAGAATAACAGCTGAGTCCCTCACAATCCCATGTGAGGTAGAAAAAGTGCTATTATTCCTATTTTATAGAGGAGGAACTGGGCAACAGAAAAGCCGAAAGATCTAAGTCCTACAGGAAGTCTCTGGTACAGCAGGGATTTAACATCAGAGTCTCACCACTAGACCATTCTTCCTCTCATTTTAAAATTCTATTCAAAACATTAAATAAGGAATTTTCTCACATCCATCTCCAGAAGGTTAAACATGCTTGACTCAGCTATTTCTTTGGATTCATCGAATTTTTCCAGAGCTTGGCGTAGCTCATCATCAGGGAGCCTGCCTTGTCTTTTCTTTTTGTAATCAAAATCCAGGCGTCTACCTTCCATTTTCTTTAGGTGGTGCTGTAAAAAAATGAAAGGGAAATAGTGTGAATATGATGGGAACAGTTCCCTAACATCTCATTTCTTGCTTTAAGTCCGCTACATTCAGTCAGAGGTTGAAAATATACGCTACCAATCTACTATACATCACAGTTTTACTGGAGTAAGAGGGCACAGAAAAATGAGGTAGGTTTCCATTTCAAATGGTATACTATGGCATATTGTGTCAAAACACTGAAGCAGCTCCATCACAGAGTGTTTTACACAAAGAGAACACAATGGCAAATTGCAGAGACTCCTAGATACATGAGAGTTGGTAGTAATTCATAGTTTTATTTATAATCTAGAATTATCTACATATTGTGTATATCTCCCAGAAGTTTAGGAATAAATTTTTCTTTAATCTAGTTTTCTTTCTAATTATACTAGGGATAATTTTGCAGTTTTCACAAGATCAGCAAAGTATCTTCATTTCTGAGTGATTTATTAACTTACCAAACATCACTGCTGTCCCTGTATTTATTTAGCAAATTTCATATAAGTTTCACTAGAGAGCATTTTTAAGAGCAGGTGTTGCTGGATCCCCAGAGGTTGGATAGCCTTCTGTGGTGGAAAGGGGGAAAACTAGCCCCATTTTCCCTCTTTGTTCCTGGTCCCGAGGCTCTAGGCTGCTTCTTATCCAAGTCCTTAAATTTGGTTCATGGCTCAGGAGTTTGCATTCCCCATTAGCTGGGATTTCTCTGTAGGTTCACCTCCTCTTTTACCAAGAGGGCAAGGGGAGGGGGTTTACTCATTCCTGTGGCTGCTGGGCTAGCAGGCTGTGGTTCAGGCCTCAGACTGTCCAACCAAGCTCCTGTCTCCTCACGAGACAGCACCAAATTGAGCTAGGGTTTTTTTTTCTCTCCCCCTCCAGGCCTAGTACTGGCTGCAGGTTAAGCAGGATGGGGCTAGGTGGGGGCCACAGATTTTCTTTAACCCCTGAGGTGCTGGGCCATCTTTTTTCCACTCCTTCAAATGCAGGTTAGACAAACACTTGTCAGCAGGGCTGCCGCTATGGCAGTACAGGGCTTGGAACAATCCCCCATGCTTCTTCTCCAGGCCCCACACCAAGCCCCACCTCTTCCCACACTGCACCACCCACTCCCCCCTTTTCCCCAGCCTTACCCCTGCTCCACCCCCACCCCATCTCTTCCTGTCCCCGCTCCACCCCTCCCCCTCCATTGTATCCCTTCCCTGAAACACCCTCTCCCGAGAGATGTGGTTCTGAGGAACTACTAGAGAGCCTGGTGCAGGGTAGCAGCAGGGATTGGGCCCTTCTGCTCTCACCATGGCAGCGGGAGCCATGAGAAGTGGAGCAACCAAGCAACCTGCTCTGTTTTGCTTCCATCTCCCAGTGGGATCACTCCACTTCCTGCTGCTGCAGGAAGCAGTGTACCTCAGCCCAGCCCCAGCTCGGCTTCAGGGATTAAGAAAGTGAAGTACTAAGCATGGAATATCTTAGGGTATCATTACCAAACTAAAAGAAATGATTTGTCATCTGGCATGATCTACTCAGCAAACATGAAGTGCCAAGCTTTTGGAACATTTCTAGGTACCCTTCTGAGGTCCCAATTTTACACTTACCCATATGCTTAATTTTATGGGGAGAGCATCATTGCACTTACATGTGTGAAGTTGTTCACATGTATAAGGGTTTGTAGAATTGGAACCCAATGAGATATCATTTGCACCAGCAAAGAACAAGCATGTGCATATATAGCATTTGTACATACAAATGAAATATTTGGCAACCTATCTAATTTAGGGTATGTCTAGACTGCAAAGCTAATTTGGGATACTGGAGGTATCCTGAAATAGCTACCCACGTCCAAGGAATGCGTCTGCTATTTCAAAATAATTTTCAAAATAACGGGCCTGCTATTTCGGCATCCCTGTAAACCTCGTTCCATGAGGAATAAAGGATGTCTCGAAATAGTGCTTTATTTTGAAATTTGGTGCTGTGTAGACGTGACAAATTTTGAAATGGCCTATTTTGAAATGAAATCACATATCTTATTTTGATTTTAGAGTGCAGTCTAGATGTACCCTTAGATGTGCAAATGATAGTTGTGTTTCAAATTCTAGATATCTAGGTGTAAATCATCAGGTATATAAAATTACAAATGCAAATCTAGAGGCAGCTATTCACAATATGGATCTAAAATAATATGGATCATTAACACTGGGCTACATTATTTAAATGTACTCTAGAAAATGACTTGGGGTATGTCTAGACTGCTCTCTAAAATCGAAATAAGATACACAATTTGCATATGCAAATTGTGTATCTTATTTTGATTTTGTTTTGAACTAGTGTGTCCGTTATTTTGAAAATTATTTCAAAAATTATTTTGAAATAGCGCATGCATTCCTTGGACGTAGGGTAGCTATTTCAGGATACCTCTAGTATTCCAAAATTGACTTGTAATCTAGACGTCCCTTTATAATTTGTAAGTGATTTTTATGCTCAATTAGAATACAGCAGCCAAACCTGTACAAAAATGTATTTTTCAAAACAGATAATATGATTTGTTACTAAAAATAATGTTGCCATTTTGGTCTCGAACATTTTAAAGAGTCAGAGAAAGAAAGGAAATTAATTTAATTTGTATTATTCAAAGAGAAACAATGAGACCTGTTAGGGATTTACAAAGACCTTGAGCATCACAGCTAAAGCAAGAGTTTTCAAAACATACAGGGTATTTATTTGATTTTCCAAAATCACTTAACTCCATCTTTAGCAATACCTGTATTTCTCTCAGATCTTTATCATGGAGATTCTGCAGGGGATCTATGAAGTTCTGCTTCACTTCAATATCCAAAGAATCTTTGACTTCAGAAAGGTCTCTCATTGCTTCCCCAACATCACCAAGGGCTGGGCCTAGGACAGGAGAGTATGTCTGGTTTATCTCAAATACAAATGGTGGGATGTGGTTCTGCATTAATACAGAATAGGGCTGAGACACAGAACTCAGTTAAGAATCAAATTTAATCTTCAGTTTTAAATACATGGCAGAAAAAGTGAGGCATTATAGGGAGGGAACTGTGGATGCTATGGTTTTGCAGCCGTAGAACCTAGTCACAGCAATAGAACTGTACTTCAGAATCCAAACTTAAAAAAAAAAAAAAAAGGGCCTATACGGTGGTAAAAGAAAACCTGTCAGAGAAATACCATCTTTACCTGATACAGACTGTAGATTGTGTGAAACAGTCATCCTAACAAAGATCTGACCAGCCCAATAATTTTAAATAAGGTGTGTTGACTCTGGCCATTTATAAGTCACACAGTTAACAGTTTCACTCCTCAGAATTTTATTAGAAATAGCAAACTAGTTACTTGTCCTGTAATTCATGATATCCTAGTGATAAACCTTCCCAAAGTAACTTCTAGAATGAAAATACTCACAATCCAATAAAAAATTCAGTGTACTGAAAGTTCAGATTTTAAGGCCAGTATAAAATAAACTGAATAGAATATTTTAAACAAAGGGTATCCCCGTAATTATTTATATTTAATTAATAAAATCCTGGTTTCAAAATGTAATATGGTTGAGCTTCATAAACAAAATACACTGGACTTCAGTTGGAAGGGTAACTACCCAAAGCTTCTAAAGATCAAACCCTACAGGTCTTAAGTTAGACATCCAAAAATGAGCCAAAAATTCATCAGTCCTTCTGAAACTATTAGCCTAAGTGAGGAAGTCAGTGACAGAACTAGAAAAAGAAAACAAAAGTCTGAATTCCCATTCCTATACCATAACTATAGTACAAGCCTTCCTCTTTTCAGAGGTAAGGGTGCTATGCTTCTTTCTCCTCCAAGCCAATAACATCCCAACTGCACAAGCTGGGGAGTCGTAGTTGTTAGGGGGTCACAGCAGGTGTTAGATGTGCAATAATTCTCACCAGCTAATTTGGTTTTGTCTCAGTTCAGGGGTCTGGACTAGATACACTCTCTCACAGGATTTGAACTCAGCTGTGGTAAATAAAGAATGTATTTTACTTTCACAATGCATTTATTTGTCGAACCAGAGCTATCAATATGTTTTGTTAATGATTACAGGCTTAAACAATTTATGGTTAATACTAGATTAATTATTTTCTAAAATATCTTTCAATTTGCCTTTAAAAAATTGTGCTCATATGCTCAAAACAAAAAGGAAAAATCCTGGCCAGTCTGAACAATATCAAGTAAATCAAAAATTCAAATCAGTGATGAATCAGCTTGCAGTTTTGCACTCCCAACGGAATAATTGAAGCACCAGTGAGAAGTCTTATTTTAAGCATTCAAATATGTTGACCATTTCATTTTAAAATGAAACTGCAGCACTATCACTATGATACTTCCAAGGTAAAGCTAAAACTTTGTTTTTAATTCCTCCAAATATTAAATGCGGACGTTAAGGCTCAAGGAAATTGGTTATGGAAAACTAAGACCTGCAAAACACCTGAAACCTTAATATGGGACACTAGTTATATGATCACTAAAGAAAAAAACCTTGTCCTTACCATAGAAACTGTGCCCGGGGTAGTGTCAGCCACTATGTTCCCAGAGTTTTCTTACTCTACTGGACATGGGTGGGGAAATTAAAGATAAGGTGCACACTGCTGCATTTATAAAGTCTAATTCTACAAAAGGTTCTGAGGGCCTCCTGGAAGGTGCTGAGTACCCTCGACTGCCATTGACTTCAGTAAAATATTAACTCAATATCTGGCAGAACTAGTCCCTTAGAACTAGTATGCTACATACAATAGCAAAAGTCATAGAGGGTTAATGTCCTTACTTTGACCCTAAATAAGCGAACAAAAAGTGGCCCTGTAGCACCAGAGGGTATGTCTAGACTACAGGCTTTTGTTGACAGAAGTTTTTTCAAAAATTTCAAAGTAGTGTAGACATACTTTAAGGTGCTACAGGACCACTCATTTTTTTAAGTTACAGACTAACAGAGCTACCCCTCTGAGACATAGCTGAGCAAGCCATGTTCCTTTGGGGCAGCATCAGCAGGGAAAACAGCTTAGCCCATTTCTCAATGCCTTCAACAGCTAGATAGGAATCCAGCCCTACTGCTGGCAGAGATGATGTTCATCGCCCCCTCAATGTAGACACCAAACACTTTGGCCCCAGTGTTTTTGAATTTTCACCACAACTGTGGTCCACAAAATCTACTCTTCTTGCTTATCTGTCCCATGAAGCACAGAATCCAAACCTGCTGTGATAGTGGGATGGAGAAAAAGAGTCTAAATTTAAATAAGTTGGTTATGAAATTAGCACCTGCACTCCAAAAAAGGAAGCTCGTTTAACAATGCATTCCATTAGCTTTGTCTCCCAAACAAAGGACCTCCCCCCCAGCATATTGTGTAGCCAGTGTACCTGCTGTTGGCATCTAGAGGAATGATGATTAGTAGCTAGAAAGCGCATTACTAGGTAGAAACCTATGATATAGCTGTTCTACCCTTTGATCATTGGGATTAAACATCAATTTGTTCAGAAGATGGTTAAAAACACATCTGAAATTTAGCATGAGTGAGAGAGCAAAAAGCAGCACTATTCAGAGGAATCAGACAATGGCAGCTACTAAATTAATTAGTATATAATTTTGATCTAGGATGATTAAACCAAACCAGAAGGCACGTTGTCTTCTGAATCTGCCATCATGTCAGGACTAGAATTTTATTATAAGTTAGAATAGAAGAGAATTTTCAAGCTATTGTTCAAGCCACATGCTTGTTGCTATTATAAAACGGACTGCACAGAGCTACATACAGGGCTGTGAAGATACCACAAAATCTGTTGTGGGTGTGAGCTCGCTAATTAGACTAAAGAATCTTCACTGTTGAAATGCAACTTCAATACTCCTTACCCAGCAAAACTCCCAGGGTATGTCTACACTACAGGGTTAGTTCGAACTAACTTTGATAGGCGCTACACTAGCGCTCCGCTAGTTCGAACTTAATTCGAACTAGCGGAGCGCTTAGTTCGAACTAGGTAAACCCCATTTTACGAGGATTAAGCCTAGTTCGAACTAGCTAGTTCGAATTAAGGGCTGTGTAGACCCTTAATTCGAACTAGTGGGAGGCTAGCCCTCCCCAGGTTTCCCTAGTGGCCACTCTGGCCAACACCAGGGAAACTCATATGCCCCCCTCCCGGCCCCGGACCCCTTAAAGGGGCACGGGCTGGCTACAGTGCCCCGCAAGAGGGGGGCACCTTCCTGGGCTAGTGCGGACATCGTGGACCTCGTCCACGATCTCCGCACTAGGCACAGGAAAGTGGCCGTCTAGGGCAGGAGAGCTGCCAGCCTGGCCACCCAGGACCAGGTGTGCATGAAAATCAAGGGGGTCCACTGAGACCCCCGACACTGAGCCCTGAGCTTACAATGGCCGTCCTGGGTCAGACCAAAGGTCCATCTAGCCCAGTAGCCTGTCTGCCGACAGAGGCCAACCCTAGGGACCCCGGAGGGGATGGACTGAAGACAGTGACCAATCCATTTGTCTCGTGCCATCCCTCTCCAGCCTTCCACAAACTTTGGGCAGGGACACCACTCCTACCCCCTGGCTAAGACTACTCCATGGACCCAACCTCCATGACTTGATCTCACTTCCCTTTAAACTCTGTTCTAGTTGTAGCCGTTGCAGCCTCCTGCAGCAAGGAGTTCCGCAGGTTAACTATTTGCTTTGTGAAGAAGAACAACTTTCTCTTACTAGTTTGAAGCCTGCTACCCATTCCTTTCCTTTGGTGTCCTCTAGTCCTTCTTTATGGGAACTCAGGAAGAACTTTTCTGAATGCACCCTCTCCACCCAACCCCTGCTTTTAGAGACCTCTATCCTGTCCCCTCTCCGTCTCCTCTTTTCTAAGCTGAACAGTCCCAGTCTCTGTAGCCTCTCTTCATCTGGGGCCTGTTCCCAACCCCTGATCATGTTAGTTGCCCTCCCCTCTCCCAGCCTTTCTCTTCCCTTCTCCCACCTCCTTTTCCCAGTCTCCCCCAGTTTTGTTCAATAAAGACAGAGTCAATGTTGGAAGAAACGTTATCTTTATTTTGTACATCAATAAGAAGGGGGGCTAGGGAAGGGTAAGTGGAAGGAGGTGAGGGAGGAATGGGGTACGAGCCCCCGATGGGGAGGACTGGGCTGGCTCTGCGGGCTTCTGGGGGTGGAAGCTCTCCTACAGCCCCCCAATTGCCCCCTCTCTCCAGATGGCAGCCTGCGGCAAGTGCAGCCGGGCTGATGGCCGAGTGGTGTGATGAGCACAGTGTGGGCACTCCGGGCACTCCAAGCCAGGACTGGTTTTCAAGCGGGGCACCCCTGAGAACTGTCTGTCCGGGGTGGGGGTCGGGTCCCTTTAAGCGCAGCCCTCGGCTAGCCTGAGACAGCATCTCCACGCTCTAAGTCCTCCTCTGATGCCCTGCCGGCACTGCTTCTGGCCAGCCTTAAGCCCTGTTCAGGGTCCACTTAATGTGGACATGCTTGTTCGAATTAGCAAAATGCTAATTCGAACTAGTTTTTAGTTCTAGACGCGTTAGTTCGAATTAGCTTAGTTCGAATTAACTAATTCGAACTAAGTTAGTTTGAACTAACTCTGTAGTGTAGACATACCCCCACTGACTTCAGTGGGAGTTTTGCTGGATAATGAATGAAAAAAGTTTGTGATCTTTCCCCTAAAATGTAGAATTTTAGCAGCAGAGAAATATCACGTAGAAAAAGAGGAATTAACATTTTAACTCATCATTGTACTTTGGAACGTCATATGTTGTTAGCCTTTATTCGATATCTGCAATGAAGGTAGAAACATCCTCTTGTAAGGGGTCTGAGGACAGGAGAGGTTTAGCATGATGGTAGGAGAATGTGGATGCCTATAATAGTATCACATCAGATCATTCTGCTCTTTTGGTCACATTGCATTTCAGTAATGCACATAGTAAGGCAGTATACAGCCTACATGGATATCATCCCAAAGGAAAAAGATTTGGCTTTTACCAATAAGAAAACAACCTGCACTTCCCATCCTGGGAAGGATCATAGATCTACATCATCATGATTGTCATTGGCCTACTGGGAAATGAACAATCTGTCAGTATCTGGGCATTGCAGATTGTTCGCCAAAGCTCTTATTCTACACAAGCACTAATAGACTTGCATAATTCAAAGGAAAGAAACCAAGTTACCAAAGTTGCAATCATCGCCAAGTTCTCTTCCAAATTTCTGCATAGCGTCCGCCAATAAGGCCTCAGCCTGAGGGTAGCCTGGTCCTTTTTCCTGCCCTCGAATTTTTGACATTGTGTTGATCATGTTGAGTTTAGCTCTGGAAGCTGCAAGCAGACCAATAACAGAGTTACCAAAGGTCAGTAAATGGGAGATAAACTTTATAAGTACTGTATCTTAAGCTGCAGTAGGTAGAGTACAGGAGATTTCACTTGTGTTCTCAACAAAAGAATTACTCAGCTTCTTGTAACGTGTTCAAGAAACTGCTGTTGAACATGTATGTCAGATAAATTGAAGATTAACTCTCAGGGTGTGTCTAGACTACACCTCTCTGCCGACAGAGAGATGTAGATTAGGCGCATCGAAATTGCTAATGAAGTGGGGGTTTATATATCCTGTGCTTCATTAGCATAAAAATGGCCACCACTTTTTTTTGGCACAGAGCTTTGTTGGAGAAAAGTGGCAGTCTAGAGGCTGATCTTTCAAAAAATAAAGCCTTTTTCGAAAGATCCCTTATCCCTCGTGAAATGAGGTTTACACGATCTTTCGAAAAAGGCTTTATTTTTCGAAAGATCAGCCTCTAGACTGCTGCTTTTTTCCAACAGAGCTCAGTACCAAAAAAAAAAAAGCAGCGGCCATTTTTATGCTAATGAAATGTGGGATATTTAAATCCCTGCTTCATTAGCAATCTCAATGTGCCTAATCTACCTCTCTGTCAGCAGAGAGGTGTAGTCTGAATACACCCTCAGGCTATGTCTACACTTGTGGCTTCTTGCACAAGAACATCTTGCGCAAGGGTTCTTGTGCAAGAAGTCTTGCGCAAGAAAACATCCACACTGCCATCTGAGTGCTGTGCTTTTGCGCAAGAGCTTCCATGGCAGTATGGATGCTCTCTTGCGCAAGAAATCTCCGACGGCCATTTTAGCCATAGGGCTTTCTTCCGCAAGAAATCCCTGCTGAGTGTCCACACTGCCTTCTTGCACAAGAGCTCCTGCGCAAGAGGGCTTACCCCTGTTAAAAAAGAGCATAGCTCTTGCGCAAGGGCAGGAAGGCATAAGAGCAGGAAGGCAGTGTGGACACTTTGCGGATTCTTGCTCAAGAACAGCCATACTTATGCAAGAAGCTGTGAGTGTAGACATAGCCTCAATGTTCAGCAAATTTTTAGAGAGAGGGTGTGAAATCCTGGCTCTCACTGATATCAACAGGAATTTTGCCATTGATACCAGAGATGCCTTAATTTGACCAGAAGCATTCAGAGTGGAGACCCAATCTTGCCCTCCAGGAAGTCCATTTCAAAATACCCCTGGACTTCAAAACACTCTAGGGACTAGTCATTGATACCCATTGCAGCTCAGGCGAGGGGAAAATGAAGGAAACTCTAACCCATTTATATTTTCTCATTCTTCAGATCACAGAATCATAGGATTGGAAGGGACCTTGAGAAGTCATATAGTCCAGTCCCCTGTACTCAAGGCAAGACTAAGTATTATCTAGCTTTCTGGGCAACAGTCCAGTCTCAAGGTGCAATCTACATTGGACTTCCAAACAGCTATTACAACAACTGGGGACCAGCGGGTATACCAACTCCCCTGCCACACATTCTTATGCCGTCACATGCCCTATACTCAGGCCTGCCAATGGGGGTGGGTGAAGAGGGCACTTCCCCCAGGGCTTCATGATTCAAAGGAGCCAGTGGCTCTGGCTACAGGAGTGGCCAGAGCTCCGTGACCCTTTGAATTGCCACCAGAGCACTGCTCCATGCGGCTTTGTGGGATGAGGGGGTCATGCCATGGTCAGGGGGATGCTGAGGGTGGATGCCCTGCCCCTTCCCCTTGAGGCCCTGCCCCTTCCAAGGGCTTGGAACCAGCCCCTCCTCCCCATATAGATCTTGCCCCAGGGCCTGCAGTGTCTGTTGGCTCCACTGCCTATACTGCAGCTGCGGTGAAGAGCAGGGGCACAGAAATCAATATGTTGGCCCTATTGCTTTTGGGGAATCCTTGGATAGACCGTTAAACCATCACTGCAGCAGCTTTGCACCAGCAGATGCCCAAAAATGGTGCAAGAAGGGCCAGAATTTGCTCACCCATAAATGCTAGATGTAATATTTCTCTTTCTTTCTTTATTCACTATAAAATGCATCAAACATATTCTCAGAAAATGCCTACAATCCCCTTGTTATTTTTACTAGAATTGTGGGAAGACTCCTGGGTTGATATAAAAAATAAACTGCGTTACAGCTCATACTTTCTCTCCAATATGCCATGCAAAAACTCTCCCAAGAACAGTGATTATATAAAAAAGGCACCTGGGCTATCAAAACTGATAAAAAGAAAAACAAAAATGAAGAAATAAACTCATTCAATAGCCCATATTTTTGTGGTGAATGCTGCCAATGCAGAAATAGTTTGCGAATGTCATACACAGTGTGCTTTAAGTGATATACTGAATTACATTTCTAATTTTGTAAACTACAATAAATAAGAACTGTGCCATCGTAAATCACTGCACAATAGGAAAAAATTAAGCCACAAAACAAACATATGTTTGAATGTATTTATGAGTCTGATCTGATTTAAATTCAGAAGAGCAAAAGCAATTCAAAATTAAGGATGACATGCCATCTGTAACCCTCCCTGCTGTGCATCAGTATTACAGCACAGATGCAAAATTATTCAGTATTTGGACACTGCAGCAATGCATAAGCACAGTGGACCCAAGAAGTATTTTACTTATTGCTTAACTCACTTTTGGTTGAAATACTACAAATGAAGATCTGGCATTGAATGCTGTTTTTCACATTGTGGCATATGTGTGCTAAAACCAGGAAATTATCTAAGTACATATTTTGCTTGTGAAGAACATTATGAAAGGAAAGCATGTTTTTGTAAGCATCTTCTCATTACCTAAAAGTGACACTGGACCATGCTATTCTGAATTTGTTGATATCTCCTGGCCTCAAACTGCCATAGAACTACAGGCAGCAGACTGACATTCCAATGAGAGACTCCATTGTAATGAGGTGTCAGCAGCAGACTCCACCTCTATGCTGCAAAAGATAGCATCTCTCTGTAATTGTTGGGCTGGAAGATGTCTGCTACTTTATTCTTTTACGGCCTAATCCAAAGTCCATTGAAGTCAATGAAAACATTCCCAATGTCCTTAAAGGGCTTTGAATCAGGTCTGGGTACCAGAAGAAAAAAAAGAGCAGTCAGCTAGCCTTCATGTTACCCCTTAGCTAATGATGCTAAGGTGGTGAGGAGAAGAAAAGAAGCTAGGAAACTCTGAAGAAAAGAGATGAGGGCTCAGACAACTGAGCATAATGGAGGAAACAGAACAAGGGGTAAAAACCAGAGAAAATACTGGAGGACAAGGAAAACAAAAAGTACAGATAGCAGAAAAAAGAGAGACAGAAAGGAAAGAAAAATACAGGAGAATAACTTAAAAGGAGGGGCCACACTCTGACTAGATAGGAAATGGGGAAATCAAAAGCAAAGGAAAGAATGATGAAATGTAGAGATGAAAGAGACAGTAAGGGGAAGGGGACAAATAGATAAATAAAAGAATAAAGTAATGAGTAGTAGTCCTGTGGCATCTTAGGGTACGTCTACACTTCTCAGAATATAGTTATTCTGAAATAGCTTATTTCAAAATAGCCCATCTACACTATAGAGAAGCCTCAAAATTAGTCCGAGCCAGGCTTCCCTAATGTGGATGTGCTATCTCGATTTAGAGTCCCAGGAGGCACTGTGGAGGAATAACTTAGGGTATGTTTACAATTGCACTCTCTTTCAAGAGAGGGATGCAAATGAAGACATTCAAAATTGCAAATGAAGCCGGGATTTAAATATCCTGTGCTTCATTTGCATATCCGCATTATGGCACTATTTCAAAATAGCGCTATTTCAAACTCATGGTACTATATAAGACACGGTAATTTCAAGAGGAAACCCTTATCTCAAAATATCTGGTAAACCTCATTGTATGAGGAATAAGGGTTATTTTGAAAAAAGGGTTTTCTCTCAAAATAATCGCGTCTTAACAGCGTCTGTTATTTCAAAATAGCGCCATCATGCAAATATGCAAATGAAGTGCAAGATATTTAAATCCCAGCTTCATTAGCAATTTTGAATGTCTTCATTTCCATTCCTCTCTCAAAAGAGGGTGCAAGTATAGACATACCCTTAGAATGGCCCTGGGAAGGGGCTATTTCAAAATAGCAGCAGTGGAATATCTACACACGCCTTATTTCAAAACTGCTATTTTAGAATAGGTGTTATTCCTTGTAGAATGTGGTTTATAGATTTCATAATAAGCCATCTGTTATTTCAAAATTATTTAAAAATAACGGAATGGCTGTGTAGACGCTTGCATTTTTATTTCAAAATAATGCTAGTTATCTCAAAATAACGGTGCAGTGTACATACACCCTTAGAGTCAAGATGAAATGGGTTTTACCCACAAAAGCTCATGGTACTATAAATTCTTGTAAGTCTCTAAGGTGCCACAGGACTATGCATTGTTTTTTAAGTTACAGACTAACACAGCTACCCCTCTGAGAATGAAGTAAAGCAAGCATAACAAATACATTAATTAATTCATACAATTATAAAGCAAGAAAGGACCACTATGATAAAAAAACATGTCACCTGTAAAGGAATTTGAACCGTGACCTGCAGATTAAGAAATTGATTTTCTACCAAGTGAGGGTTCCGTATTAATCCATATTTCTACATTTCACAATCTGCTGACATGATACTAACCAAAAACCCAATCTGTGTTTACACATTATATTCTAACATTATATTCTAACACAATGTAATTTTCCAGCATGTGCAGACCAGTTCTTCACATCTCTTTTCTTTGTGTAGAGAACTCAACATGAAATAGCTAAATAAGAACAACCACTAGTTTTAAAAAGCTGCCATAAAAGAGTTTAAAAGAAACACCACGAGTGGCTTCAATTTCTTATTCTTTATATTTGCTGTCATGTTCCTTCTGCATTACTTTTTTAAGATAGCCACATTTAGCCCTGAACTTTTATCATATTCATTTTTTCCCCCTTCAATCTCCTGGCAGGCTATTTTCAAGGTTAGACACATCTGTAATG